TCAGAAAGCCCTCCAGCCCCTCTGCACCCTCCCACCCCAGGCTGGAGAAGAGGGGGCTGGGCTTCTGTGCCCCCCTCACACCCCACACGGACAGGGGCACCCGACTGCGACTAGGCTGGGCCAGCTCCAGCTGTCACGGGCCCTGCCAGGCCCTTTCCTACCCAGAGTAAGTCTTTCAAGCTCTTTTAAAGCATAGTCACCTCATTAACAGGTGTTCTGGTGGCAGCTTCCCCCACTGCACCAAAGCGAGGCAGCTCTGCCCCCTCTTCCTGATGCCCTCCACCTGCTCTGGCCCCCAGCTCTCTAAGGGCAGCCCCAGCCTGCTTCACACACATGCACACACACACACACACGCACATGCACGCACACGTGCCTGGGAAGTCCAGCGTGCCCCTGCAGCCTCTGACACATGAATGAGCTGTGACTGACAGGCATGCCATGAGAACAAGGCCTGGCAGCAGTGTCTGGGCCCCACAAACAGCAGCCGTGTCCCCCCAACCCTGGGCCCCAGCTGCCCCTTCTCCGCAACACCTCCCCCCACTCCACTCCCCACCCCCGCCCCCCACCCTGTGGCCGGGAGGGCCCAGGGGTTGCTTTTCCTTTTTCCTCTCCTGCCGCTGGCCCAGTGGGCAGTCTCAGGGAGGGAGGGGCCAGGCGGGAGGGGGGGGTGGCAAGAGGCCAGGCTTTGGTGGCATCAGGTTAGGGCACGCTGGCTTTCCTGAGAACGCCAAGGCAGGGGCCAGTGGGGGTGGCATATAAACCTCCACTGCGGGCGCCCGGCTCTCCTGCTTTCCTTCCCGAGTCTCTGTGCCTTCTGATCCGGTGAGTCCCTCCGTCCTGCTGAGGGCTGGGCGGGGAGGACCCCGCAGGTCTTTGCCTGGGGCCCTCTGTTCCTCTTTCTCCTTGTAGTTTTCCTGGGAGGAGCAGCCTGAGCCCCTCGCATTTGCGGGGAACTTCTGTGACGTGTCAGTCAGTTTGAGGGCTTTGGCCCGGTTGTTCCGTGAGGTCTCAGTTTGGGGGTTACTCTGAGGCCCTTCCTCGGGTCCCAGTTTGGGTGACTCAGTCTAGAGCGCTTCTTGGGGGTCTCGGCCTCGGAGTTTGAGGGGTGTGTGTGTGGTTTTGTTTTTTGCGGTCTTGAATTCTAGTGGGACCTCCGTGCGCAGGCCCGCTGGATGGCTGCCCTGAGTGGCTCTGCCCATGGTGGCTCCCTGTCTGGCCCAGCCCCCCGAGGCTGACCTGGCAGGCCTGGAGGGGGACTTTCCCGCCTCTGTCTCCAGCTCCCCAGTCTCATCCTGGGACCCGCCTAACCCTCCCGGGCTGGTCTGAACATTCGCAGGGGTGGGGCCTCGGGAGGGGCGACCTTCTGGGAATGTCCTTACATCCCCAGATTCCACCCTTACCCCAGGGCACTGGACGTTTAATTTCTTTAATTCCAAAGCCAACAGGAAGCTTGCTGGTGGGGCGCGTGTTCAGCTGCCCCGTCTGCGTCTGCGTAGAGACAGCGCCCCAGCCCGGGGTCCCCCGAGTGTGGGGGGAGACGAGTTAGAAGGACGGTGACACTCTCTGGTCTCCGCAGTCCTGTGAGGAGGGAAGGGCTCTCCAGGACCCTCGTGCCCCTAGGCTGTATCCATGGTCACTGCCAACGCCCAGCAAGCCCCCGGGGAGATGCCTGTTGCTCCAGTGCTGGCACCGACGCCACTGGCCTGGGAAGGCGCCAAACGGGGCTGGTCACTGTCACTTCCCTTCCTGCAGACACTCGAAGGGAGCAGCCCTGCCCTCAGGGGTGTGCCCGGAGTGTGATTGCAGGAGAGCAAGGCCGGCCCGCAGTCACTGCAAACATGGGGCCCCTGCCCAGAAGCCCAGCCTGAGGGGGAGACTGGCCGCCTCGCACGGGCGCGTGGGGGTGGTGTGGGCGTCCCACATGGCTCCATCACCGGTCCCCCCTTTGGGCCCAGGTCCAAGATGTCTAGCCCCCTGGAGCAGGCGCTGGCTGTGATGGTCACCACTTTCCACAAATACTCTGGCCAAGAGGGCGACAAGTTCAAGCTGAGCAAGGGGGAGATGAAGGAGCTCCTGCACAAGGAGCTGCCCAGCTTCGTGGGGGTGAGTGAGGCCGGCCCGGGGGGCGGGCGCTGGTGCGTGGGTGAGGGGTGCAGGTGTGGGGGCGCAGGTTCAAGTTCTTCTTCCTTCCTCTGGGTGCCCGCTGGTGGGACACGCCTTCGTCCGGTCCCCTCGTTGCAGAGTTGAGCCAACCAGAGCCCAGAGAGGGGGAGCGACGGGCCCACGATCACACAGCCCGCTCTCTCTCTCCTGGTTTTTATTTACCGTGGGAGAGAAAAGCCCAGCTAAGCCACGCACCCTGAGGCCCAGGAGAAAGCGGTCAACTCTCCGTCTGCCCCTCCCGCCGGGCCGATTGCTGGGTAAACCCTGAAGTCGGGCCTCAGGCTTTGAGCATATGAAGCATGTCCTTTCCTTCAAGGAGATTTTACGGGGAGCATCTGAGATCTTGCTCATTGCCATATGTCCTCAGTTTGGTTCAAATAAATTCCTGTAAAAATTCAAACAAAATTTTTTTCCCCATCAAACTATTCTAATTTGGTTCCTCTGGGCTGAGAGTAGAAAGACGTTGTCTTCTGAACCCACCTTGGTGCCGGTGGGGGAGGCGTTAGCTCCAGGAGCCTCGGTTTTCTCGTCGGCGAAGTGGGAGTTGTGGTGCCCACCTCCCCGAGGTCCTGTGCGGAGCAGAGCTGATCCCGTGCTTCGGGGGTGCCTGGCGTGTCCCCAGCTCCCAGCAGGGGGAGTGTCCACTCGTCCTCACTCACTGGGCCCCTCAGTGGCTCCCAGGGCCACGCCCCTACCCTCAGCTTACCAGGGAGAGCCAGGCTCGGGCCAGTGAGCGTGGGGTGCTTGGGACGGAGGTGGGGTGGCGAGTGGCCTCGTGGTGACCCCGCCCTGCCTTGCTTTCAGGAGAAGGTGGACGAGGAGGGCCTGAAGAAGCTGATGGGCAGCCTGGATGAGAACAGCGACCAGCAGGTGGACTTCCAGGAGTACGCTGTGTTCCTGGCCCTGGTCACCGTCATGTGCAATGACTTCTTCCAGGACGCCCAGGGCCGGCCCTGAGCTCTCGGCTCCCTGTCCTCGGGCTCGTGGGCCCAGGAGGACTCTCTGCCCCTTTTAGTTTTGTATTCAATAAATGTTTTTGTTTGTCGATAATAGTTTAGTTGCTGGGTGATGCCCTGCCTGGCTCCGTGGGAGACTGAGGGCTGGGGGTGCTAAGAAAGGAGCAGACCCGGGTCCCTAAGAAAAGATCTCAGCCCCGTGAGACACGGTGGAGGTGGAGACAGTCTGGGCCTTCCTGCCCTTCCCCCAGCCGTCCCCAAAGCCGTGGCTTTGTGTTAGGAAGAGGGGACCCCGAGTGAGCAGTGTCCAGGTGCTCCTGGACCAACGGGGAACTGGCCTCCGCGCGGGAGGCTCAGCTCCACACGGGCGGGTGCAGCCTGACCTCAGCTGGCTGGGCGCAGAGCAGGACCAGTCTCCTTCCCTTCTGTGTGTTCAACTACCTGACAAACAGCAGACTTTCTTCGCTGGTCTCAAGGCTCTTCCCTAACCCCGCCCCGCCCCGCCCCGCCCCGCCCCGCAGACTTCTCCGCAGAGGCAGGGAGCAGGCGGGTCTGGAGGACAGGGTGCTCACAGGCCTGCTGGTCAGGTCCTCTGTCGCTGCCTGCTGCAGTGGCTGGGAGGAGACCCTGAGGGACAGACACCTCACCTCCTGTCGGCCCTGACTGTCACTTTGGCCTGGGCTTTTTGGGGTCCACCCCTGGGAGCCTGTTGACCTTCCAAGAAAAGAGACTGAAGGTGAAGATGGGTTCGGAGGCAGGGGAGTGACTGAAATAGGGCTTCCCACCTCCTGTCTTCAGGTCACTTGATCTCCCCACCACCTCGCTGCTGCCGCCTGGGACGTGGGCACCATCAGGCATGACACGGGTCCCGGGGCGGCGGGTCTAAGCTCCACAGGCTCCTCCATCCCAGTTCAGACCCGGTCCCCAGCCCGCCCCCCTTTCAGGAGCCAAGGCCTCCCTGGCTCCCCACCGAGAGCCCAGAGCCCCTCCCACACTTCCCGCGAACCAGGCTCCTCTGGTGACAAGGAGGCCAGTCAGTCTGATGAGGTTTACTGGCCCCATGGGTCACCCCACCCCTTGGCACAAGCACGTGAACGTCCAGGTGGCCTTTGGAAGGCGATGGTGGCGATAGTGGCCGACGGGTTGGGATGGAGAGGACGGGTCAGCGTGGAAGAGGTCCGGCCAGGCGGAGAGCACCTGCTGTCACCCCCACCCGCCACCGCCCAGGGGTCGAGTGGGGTGGTCAGCGTGGACAGCGCGAGTGGGAAATGACCTGCATTTGGAGCCACTGCGGAAAGGGGGTTCGGGGCGGGCGCTGGGGACAATCTCCCGGTGGCGCGGGAGGGTGGCGGTCACTGCGAGAGCGCGCACAGCGAGGGAGGAGGCACGCCGCTCCCCGCGCCGGCCTGGAGGCGGGGCCTGGACGAAATGGCCTGGGGGGGCTCGGGCGCCCCTCCCCCTCACTGCGCCCTGCTCCTCCGTGAAGGCGACAGCGACGGGGCCCACGGTGACAGCGCGGGATGCGAGGCCCTTTCCTACCAGAGTCCTGGGGTGCAAATCTTCCCGACCCTTTCTGGAGGCAAGAAAATTAAGGACCAAACAAGATAAAGGATGCGCGGGGGGTCGGGCGGCAAGAGGGTGGTGGGGCTCGGAGTGAGGGCTCCATGCGGGGTTCTTTCCGTGACGGCCCCCCAACCCCAGGCCGCCTGTGCCCAGGCCCCCCTCTCCGTCCCCCCACCTGCTCCTGCCCCCGCCACGGTGTCCGCCTCAGCCAGGGCCAACAAAGCTGGGACGTCCGCGGAGGTGCGGCCAGGAGGTCCCCGCGAGGCCGGGCGATGAGGACAGGCTGCTCGTAGCCGGCCCCCCGGCTCTGCCCGCGCCACCGCGCAGGCCTCCCGGGCCTCCTCGCCATCTTCCTGCCCTCGCTGCTTTGCTGTTCCCCCTGGCACCTCGGTCTATTTAGGTCCATCACACATGTGTTCCTATTGCCCGTTTCCTCCAGGAGACTCATCTCCACGGAGCAGGGGCTTCGCTTTGGTTATGGCTGTACCCTCAAGGCCCTGGGCAGGTGACTAAGTGTTTGCGTGAATAACGAATGGCTCTCGGTCCTGTCGCCTACCTCTCGGTTCACATGTATGCCCCTACCTGTGCCAGGCGCTGCTTACCTAGGGCCTGACTCATTTAAGGCCCACGGTTACCACGTGAAGTGGTTACCACATCCTCCTCCACCATCGGGGCCCACGGAGCAGGGTGACCTGCTTCGGGGGGGTGGCCGGTGGCGAAGCTGGGATGGCATAGGCCAGACTGAGTGCTTGACCTGGAACTGGGTTAATTACTGGTCCTCTCTGGCCCCCCTTCTGTGCCCGCGTCCCCATAATTCCTTGCCTATAAAACAGGGCTAATCACAGCCCGCCCTTCCCTGCCCATTGCTCACTTCCTTCACCCGCAGGGGCTGAGTCTTCAAGGACAGGATGCCGCAGGCGAGGTTTGGGTACTGGGGGCCCGAGGTGAGCTCAGGGCATTATTAGTTAGTTCTCTTGCTGCCTCCACGAGCGCTAGGCCTTCGCCAGGGGCCTGGGAGCCGACCGCCTCCTCCCCGCCCACGCTCTTCTGGGTCTTGGGTTCTCTTTCTGTAAGACGGGGAGGGGTCTCTCAGGCTCAGGGGTGAGGGATGGAATGGGGAAGCGATATGAAGTCAGGGGAGGAAGGAACTTTCCTTTATCTTTCTAGGTTCTTCCAGTTGGTTAATAATTAAATAGACATGAGACAGAATAACAAGAGAAAATGGCCGGATTTAATTACGTATGTACATATGGGGATCCGGCATATGCGAGCGGCTCAGAGACAGAAAGTCAAAATGCGGCACATACGACCTTCTGACCTGAGGATGAGGGAGGACGCCTAGGGGTGTCACAGGCGAGGGGGACATCGGGGGGACGATGAGAAGGGCAGGCGTTCAGTGATCAGGTGCATACCCTGCCACGCGCCTGGGTCGTGAAGAGTATTTCTGGTGACAACTCGTAGGTGGACAAGGCCCCTCGTTGAAATTCTTTAGGGAGAGGTCGAGGTGTCTCGTGAGCCCGTAGGGTCTCGGTTGCCATTGGCTCAAAATAATTCACATGCCAAGGGTCACGTCTCGGGGTGCCTGTTCTGAACCCCTTCAGAATGGATTTCCATTTTTGGTTGTGTGAGGGTCTGTGCCTGCTTCAGCTACAAACAACAAAAAAAAATGCAGGGTAAAATCTGGAAAAAATCTTTTCAGAGTATGGAAGAGTTGACAAGGCAGGAAGGAATGAGGAGATCAAAATCTAAGTGAAAACAGACTCTAGGAGGTGAGCAGACACCAGGGCCCCTCCTACCCCGGAGGTACTGGCCAAACTGAGCCCCAACGACCTTTGGCCTTGACGGTTTGTGGCCATGGAGAAGACAGAGCTGAAGCCTGGGGCTCGCCGGAGGAGGGGCGGCAAGGCGGACGGCCTCCCTCCCTCTGGGCCCCTGTAGAGCTGCATGCTTAAGCTAACGCCAGAGGAAACCCACCCCACCCCGTGGGACCGCAAGGAACAGCAGGGCCGGGTGGAGCTGGGGAAGGCGGTAAGCCGGCTTAAGGCATTGCGGCCACAGGCAACCCACGCAGGAGTGCGCAGTGCGCATGCGTCCACAGCATCTGTGGGGGACGGGATGGGCTGGTGAAAGAACTCAGCCTAGACCAATGTGAGCGCCCCCAGGAGCGACGCGCCTTCCTCCTGGGGCTCCGAGACATCTGCAAGGGTCCGAAACGCGTCTCCCCGGCATGCGGCTGATTTTGAACCGAAGGCAATCGAGGCCCAATTCAGGAAGAGCTTCCACCTCCCCCGTAACTGCCTAAAAGGCCTGGGATAGCGGCTCCCCAGGAAGAGCACCGGCCCCAGAAAGGCCTACAAAGAGCGTGGGGTACGTGGGTCATGGGGGAGACTCAGCAGGGCCTGGGGACAGAGCGCTCTCCGAGTCCCACCGTCTCTTCCTGGCCCAGCACGTATTTGTTTCTCCACCTCCCTGTGATTTGCCTTCCTCCCCTTCGGAGCCCCAGACCCCGACCCCATTCTCCTGAATTCAGAATAGCATAGAAGCCCCGGTTGCCTGACCTCCAGGGGGTTCTATTCTTACGGAGCCCCCTGTACGTACGTATGGAATTAAATTTTTCTCCTGTTACTCCGCCTTATGTTAATTTGATTATTAGACCAGCGGAAGAACCTAGAAGGGCAGAAGGAAATTTTTTCCTCCCCGACGCATTCTACAGATGAGGTGATCTTCCCAGGGGAGTGAGCAGTTCTCAGCCC